ATGGTTTTTAAAATTTAAATTACATATATATATCTACAAGAGCTAGTTCCAGGACAGGCTCCAAAGCTGCAGAGAAACCCTGTCTTGAAAAAACAAAAGTTCAGAGAAGATAAATTTAGCTTTAACCCACCTGGTCTATTTTTCCATATATATACATCTATATTTAGACATGTATACTCAAGGATACTTAATATAAAAAACAAACACGAAGGGGCTGGAAAGATGGCTCAGTGGTTAAGAACATTGCCTGTTCTTCCAAAGGTCCTGAGTTCAATTCCCAGCAACCACATGGTGGCTTACAACCATCTGTAATGAGGTCTGGTGCCCTCTTTTGGGCTGCAGGCATACACACAGGTAGAATACTGTATACATAATAAATAAACACGAAGAATGGACAGATCAGAGTTGGGGAGGACGTGATCATAAGATTTCCTGTTGGGAAACAAGAGGTTCTATATAGCATACCTGAGGTATACCTCCCATAATGACCACACCCCCACCAACCATCTACCAATCCACAACAGAAAAAAATCCTCAGAAAACAAGAGGAAAGCTCCAAAGTATAAGTCCCATTAGCTCACAACAGAAATCGGCACACAAGCACTATAGGAGTTGGCAACAGGGCTGAAGGGTTCTACTGTGGGATGGCCAGATGGCCAGCAGAGGGAAGACTAAGCTGTGAGCCCAGTCTTCAGCAGGCTAGGTTAATGCTAGCAGTATACAGCCAGAAGCAAAAGCCTCCCATGAGGCAGCTTGCAGTTTGCCAAGTGCCTGGACCACTGAAGGGTCTTCTAGCTAAAGTAACAGGAGATCTACTCTAAAATGAGTACATGAAGGGAGGCCGCTGTGAGCAAAGGAATGAGGCACAATAGGCCTTTTGATGCTGCGGTACAAGGAATGGGGATGCTACAACAGCCAGGGACAGTGGCTCATACCCGTAATCCCAGCTCTTGGAGATTGAGGCAGGACAGCCGTTGAGTGGGTGAGCCCAAGCTACACAATGATTCCCAAGCAAGCCTGGGTTATAGAGACCATCTCAAGAAAAGACTATAGGAAAATTAATAGCCTCAGGAGATTAGCAAAACTCTGAAAATCAAGGACATGGCAAGGACAGAGATACCCTGACCAGACACGTTTGGAGATGACAGGTGGCTGAGGGAGAGAGGTGCACGGGCTGTCATTTACACAGCAGCAGACAGTAAGCAGTGCTACAGTAAGGGTAACTAGGAAGGAAGGGAAGCAGCTCACAAGGCACCATGGGATTTGTCCTAAACCGTGCTTAAGAGGCCCTAGGCCGCAACCTTAACTACTGGATCACTACTGAGTGTAAGCAGGTAATGACTGCTGTTAGTTAAGGAGGCACAGCACAGGGTGAGCTACCCAGTGCCCAGAGAGGTGCTATGAACAAGTCACACGGTGCAGATTCCAGCCAAACCCCAGTTCCATTCTACCCACAGGTGACCAAGGCCTCCACCAAGAAAGAGGGCTTCACCACGAGCTTCCCTAACACAGAGCCACTCGGACACCAGTGTTAAGTCATTACCCACCAGGGGTTTAATTCTTCTAGGTCAGTTCAGAAAGGGGCCATGCCCTGTCCCCATCCAAAAGAAAAGGCTTGCAGGGCAGCCTGGGAATGTCCAAGCCCTGATAAGCCAAGGGGTAGTCCCTGAGCAAGTAGAGAAGTGAGTCCTAGGCTCAGGCTGCCTCCTCTTCCTCCTCCTCGTCACTCTCCTCGTCACTCTCATGATACTGTCTGTGATTGGTGTTGACAAAGAGGTCAGAATCATCTTCAGAACTGGACTCTTCTCCTGACAGCTGTGGTTCAGTGGGGAGTTCTGGCTGACTCTGTCTGTGTGAGCGAAAGACATAGTAAGCAACATCTGGGAAAACCAGACCTATGACCCAGAGTTTCTGAAAATCAGGACCAGCATTTCAAACTGTCAGGAACCGGTACGGTTCGAAAAATCCAAGAGTCCAAAACGCTGATGTGGTAGCACATGCCCGGGATGTAGGAAGCTGAGGACGATGAGTTTGAGAGCTACATAATAAACAAGGAAACAGGAGGGGCTTCTGGAAGAAGAGGAACAGGAAAACCCACTAAGGATTACCTCCTACCCACCCCATCACTGGTTTCAGTAAGGAAGCAAAAACTAACTCTGCTAGCATCAGAGACGCAGGGAGCCCCCATTTCCAACAGCTGATGCGCTAAGCCAGAAGTCCACAACTTCCTAATGCTCCGACCCTTTCACACAGTTTCGCATGCTGTGATGACCCAAATCACAAAATTACTTCATAACTAATTTTCCTTTTATGGATCATAATGTAAATGTCTTATATGCAGGATATCTGACATGTGACTCTCAAAGGGGCTGAGACCTCCAGGTGGGAACTGATACACTCAGCATTGCCTTCCTTACTCTACATAATCCTCTTAGTTGAACTTGTTGTCTTTTTTTTTAATTTTTTTTTTTTTTTTAGAAAAAGTTTCATGTAGCTCAGGCTGGCTTTTGGACCTGTTACATGTAGACCACGCTGGTTCAAACTCCTGCTTCCACCTTATAATTGCCAGAATTACAGGCATGTGCTAGCATACCCAGTTAGGAATCTGTCTGAAGATATTAAACAACGCACCTGAGGACACTTGCCTAGTAAGCCAACCTGTAACGTGGAGCATGAGACTGTCAAGCCACACTCACAGCTACCCACTCCACTATGTATGCTCAAGTTCTCAACAGGAGAAAAGCAGGACCATCTTTTTCCTTCAGGCACCAAGGTGTGAACCTGTACTTTTGTCTTCCCTGGGCTGGGGCTTGCTCCTCACCTGTTCATATTGCTTTGTTTCTCAGTTACCTCAGAGAACGCTTCAGGCCTGTGAGAAGAGAAGAGTCAGGTCAGAACACAAAGAGAGACTCTCAGCAAACAAACATCTGTTTCCAAATGTCCCTCTTGGGAAGGCATAACCTCACCCCACCCCTGCCCCATTCCTTAGCAAGGAAGTCACTATCCCCAGAACCCAAGATTATCCTACCAGTGCCCCTCCTTCTGCAGAGAGCGCACGTGGTTCTTGCAGAGCACAAAAGAAATCTCAGCCTTCACTTTTTCTCCCTCTTCAATAGGGTCAACTATGAGGAAGTCCCCTGTAGGTGAAAAAGACAAAGGCGTTCCTGCATGAGGGAGAAAATCAGGAGCCGAGCATGGCCCTGTACTGTGGAGGGGTGCTTCTAACCTCTCTTGATTGATTAGAAAATCAAGAGCCAAGGCCTGGCCCTGTACTGCAGAGGGATATGGCTTCTAACCTCTTTTGATCCAGATGTTCTTGCGGTATTTGGAGGGCATGCTCACCAGGAAGCGCTGCCCTTCAGCTGTCTCTACCTCATGCAGATTGTTCCCAGGAGTCCTGAGGACCTGCTCCAGGAAAGACCAAGACTTAGGCATGTCATCAGTTAGAGCAAGCACACACTGCCCTGCACCGAGCCCTCCCACACGCAGCTCCAGCCCACTCACCTTTACTATCTGCTGCTGGTCCGAGGGCACCACGTGCTCCCCCAGCACCTCCCGCACCACATGCTTTCTCTTGGTGGCCTGAGACATGCTGGGCTCTGTCCAGGGCTGCTAGGGGGCCGAGACGGTCAGCTCTTCTTCCAGAGTTATTCTGATGGCACACTTAGAAGCCAGGACTGCTTTCAAGAGAAGCAGCCTTATGCGAGAAAGCACCTCCTTGCCCTGTTAAAAACATGAGCTTTACAGTACTGGACAATTTGCTCTTGCAAAGAATCCACATGCGGTTCCCAGCAATCACACAGGCTTACAACTGCCCCGACTCCAGCCCCAGGGGATCCAACGCCCTCCTTTGGAGACATACATCATGCAGGTAAAAACACTGATACACATTTAAAAAAAAAATCAAAAAAACAAACACAAGCTTTAGCCAGATGCTGGTGTACACTGTTATTCCTAGCACTTGGTAGGTAGAGGCAGACAGACAACTGTTGAGTTCGAGGTCAGCCTGGTCTACATAGGGAGATCCTGTCTCAAAAAGAGCAAACATGACCCAGCATCCACATCAGCTGATTCACAACCCACTCTAACTCTAATTCTAGGGGAATCCAATGCCCTTTTCTGGCCTCCAAGGGCACTTGGAGTAGCCACACACACAGCAAATCTTAACAAAACCACGAAACACGTTTTATAGTCTCAGTTGGGAGGTGGGGATGGCTCAAGCCTTTAACCTCAGTCCAGTCTTGCTGTTTTGAGACATGGTTTCTCTGTGAAACACTCCCGGCTGTCTTGAAACTCGCTTTGTAGACCAGGCTGGCCTCGAACTCAGAGACCCGCCTGCCTCTGCCTCCCGAGTGCTGGGATTAAAGGAGTGCGCCACTACCGCCCGGCTCAAATTTTTAATCTCAAAACTCTAATCCCAACCCACGGAGGCGGAGGCAAGCGGATCTCTAACACTCCGCGGAGCAGACGGACGCGGCGACCATCGCAGCACTCACCCCCTCGGCGTTACACAAGCTCGCTCGGTTTTCCAGGGTGACGCTGGAAGCAGCTAGTCCACGACTCACTTCAAGCCTCGCTAGACGGAAGCAGAGGGAGCGACTTGCAGGTGGTCACGACGGGGCGCAGGTCTGGACGCCGGGCCTCAGACTTCGGGTGTTCCTTAGCTTCCGTCAGGAGGCTGGAGGTAGCCCGGACTCCGAGGAACCCGCGACAATTGCACTTCCGGGGCTCTCAGTAGCCCTCCGGATGCCCCGCCCCTTCGCTGTCCGTTCCTTTAACTCGTCCCTCGAGCTAGTCAGGCAAACCTAAGTCTTTGCATTCCAGTTGCCGGGCCGGAAAAAGGTGGTAGTAGTCTCCTCGGCCTCACCAGGTGGGAAGGGCGGCCGGAGAAACAAGACCGCAGAAAGCAGCGCGGCTTCCTGTGAGGGACCGGAAAACAGCGATTCCTGTGGGCGTCGCGCTTAGCGGTTGCGCCTCAACTCTATGGTTATGGGTGGCTAGACGCGCCCAATTTGGGTATTTTTTGGAAGGCGGCTCATAAGGCGACCCGGAAGCGGAAGTCGAAGAACGTTCTAGTAGCTTGAGGTATCGGCGGGAGCTGCCGAGTAGCGCGAGCAGCCGTTACCAGAGCCGGAGCTGCCGGTGAGCGTGAGCGGCGAGGCAGGGCTCTGGGCTCCGGGCGGAGGGGGCGCGCCGCGGCGGGAGGGCGAGGAGCACTCATGGCCGTGGCGCGCCGTTGCAGCGTAGCCGCCCGGCCCTGCGGGAGAGGCGGTGCGGCGGCGCGTGGAGGAGGCGGGGCGGGGCGGGGCGGCGCGCTCGGGGCGGAGCCTGCGGCCCGGCGGAGCGGGTGCGCGGCGCTAGCTGGCCTCTGGAGGGCGGCACGGCCCGCGAGACTCCGTGTTTGCAATTCCTACCACGTGGTCGCAGCGGGGTCGGCGTGTGCCTAGCCAAGGTCACCGAGAGGGACAGCGTCGGGGCAGGCCCTGGCCGCTGTGTCTGGGAATCTTTGCGGTGCCCAGCGTGCGCCACCTGTTAGTGCAAGCTGGTCCTCTCCACCGGGTCAGTACCCAAACCAAAAAGTGGAGATTCCCCAATAGCGGGGGAAAGACTTCCCAGGCCCTCAGTTTGCTCAGGTGTGAAATAAGAGGAATCGAGGAAGCAGCCACAATAGCTGACCTAGGAGATTGCCCTTGGGAGTTGTGGTCTTCAGCCCTAACCTGCTTTTTTTTGTTTTTGTTTTTGTTTTTGTTTTTGGGGATTTCCCAGGTTAAACCTGATCAAGATGACAACTTCCCAAAAGCACCGAGACTTCGTGGCCGAGCCCATGGGGGAAAAGCCAGTGGGGAGCCTGGCCGGGATTGGTGAAGTCCTGGGCAAGAAGCTGGAGGAAAGGGGCTTTGATAAGGTGTGGCATGGCCACTAACGTCAGGGAGGGGTCCGAGTGAAAGTTGGCAACAGGTGTTTCCAAGCAAAAAAATTGGGAGTGAGGAAAGAGGGGTATGGGGAGGGCACGGACAGTAGTAGATAATTTGAAGTGGTTTGGGGGCATCTGGGAGACAAGGTCATTTTAGTGGTTAGGTTTTTTGCTGTTGTTTTGAGACAGGGCTTCTACCTCACAATTCCTGGGGTTAAAGGTGTACCCTACTGTGTCCCATCTTTTGGGTGTTTTCAGTGCCACAAAAGTGGAACTAGGTGTAGTGGGTCCTGGTTCTGACCCCAGCACTTGGGAGGTTGAGACAAGAGCATTGCATTTAATGCTAGTCTAGGCAGCAAAGCAAGAACTGTCTTAAAAATGGCCTTGCCTTCCCAAGGACTCACCAGCTGGCCCTGCCTAGCTTCAGAGATCTGGCCCCCTTAGGGTGTTGTTTTTAGCCCACGAGGCACTTAGCTGTGTGCCCTCCTGTCTTGCAGGCTTATGTGGTTCTTGGCCAGTTTCTGGTGCTAAAGAAAGACGAAGACCTCTTCCGAGAATGGCTGAAAGACACGTGTGGTGCCAATGCCAAGCAGTCCCGGGACTGCTTTGGGTGCCTTCGAGAATGGTGCGATGCCTTCTTGTAGTGCACTCTGGGGACTCCTCAGTCCCCCCAGCCACAGAACCTAGTCTCCAGAGTCAGCCGCTGGGTGGGGCTCCTCTCTGTCCCCATGAAGGAAAAGATTGCTGTTGTCACAGTCACCTCCTTTGTACTCCGGGGGTCTTTTGGGAGTTCTCTTCCCCACAGCCTTTCATCCATTTTGGAATTCTTGCCCTTGCATGCCTTTCCCCTCCTCCCCCTGCAGGTCGATGGCAACAGCTACCAGCTTTCCTGAATGGATTTCTGGCCCCTTTCTCCCTCCCTTCACCATCTGTTGGATGTCCTTTGGCTCCCCCCCCCCTTTTTTTGGCAAAAATAGTCACTCTCCTTAAATATTTCTAGATTAATAAAGTCAGTGGCCTTCCTAGTTGGTCTTCTGTGTTGGAAAGCAGGTGGACTGGGAGTTGTGTCTTCCCCAGGGTTGAACACATCTACCTCACTTCTTATCAGTGCAGACCGAAACTGGTGGCTTCCCTTTCCCCTCCCAAGAGGGAGCCACCCTAGCCATGTGGGCCTTGGGCAGGTGCCCTAGGTGTCCCAATTCCTAAATAATGTGGGAGAGACAGTGGGTTGATTTCTTCCTGGGAGCCAGGTAGGCTGTAGGCTTCCAGATGTCAACAGTTGGTCAAGCAGCACCTGGTGGAAAAGTCAGTAGGAGTCAAAGTTACCAGGAAGAGGGTGGATAGGATGTAGGTAAGAGGTCTCCTGCCAGTCATCATGTCATGTGCTCTCCGCCTCTGGGAAGAACGGATGGGACACTTGCTGTTTGTCCAGCTACCATAGCAATGAAATAGTTAAACGTGAAAACGAAATTCCTGTCCCACTGTTGTCAAGCTCATGTGAACAGCCTGAAACTGACATCTTTGTAAGCATTTTTAAATTATTTCATTTTGGAGAGGTGAAGAGATTTGGGGCTCAGAAAAGCAAATTTGCCCATGAACTTGCTGCAAGAAAATAGCCACTTGAACTCAGATTGTAATTTGGTAGACTGTTCTGTCATGGAACCAATGATCTCTGAGGCTCAGCTTCCTCATATGGGTGAGGGCTGTGGGGACCAGGTACAATCCTGCTTACACTCACTCCTGCTTGGTGTTCTTTCCACCAACAGAAAGTGTCACTGATGGGGGGGGATCCTGCCTCAAAGTGAAGTGTCAGGCTTTGTTGACTCCCCATGGGAAGCCTTGCCCTTTCTGAGGAGTGCAGGGAAGGGTGGAGAGGGAGTGGGAATGGGGATAACTATGTAAAATGAGAAAAAATTGTATTTAAAGATTCTTAATAAAAGAAAAAATGTAAAAAAATAAAACATCCCTGAGCAGTGACTTGGTAGTACAAATGCAGCTCATCCGAGTGCTGACCCCCCAGGAGAGCGAGGGTGACGGCACCAGACGAGAAAATCTTCATGATCTCATGGTGAAGAGAATATTAATAAGATGGTCTCTGTAAATACTAGAAAGTTAATCTGAAACTTGAATAAAGAGATGGGCACAGAGTGAGTGAGAGTATTTTTAATAACATACCAGAGCTGCTGTCAGAATGTCTGGGATTGGTAGATTGTGGTGGTGCATACTTCTATAATCAAGACTGGGAGGTGTGAGGATCTGAAGTTCAAGGTCATCCTCGCCTACAGAACAAGTTCCCAAACTAGTCTAGGGTCCATGAGATTCTATCTCCTAAAGAAAGTAGTCTGTGGAGATAGCTCAGGGAGTAAAACTTGCTCAAGTTCAAATCCATAGCACCCACATAAAAACTGGCATGGCTGCACATACCCGTAACACCGTCATCATTGCAGAGCAGGGGATCCAAGGAGGCCTCTAGCCTGACAGCTCAATTCTCAGCAAGTGAGGTGGAGAATGATAGTGGAGAATGCCTGACCTCTGACCTCCACATACATAGACAAAGGCATCACCCCCCACCACACACACAAGGAAAAGGGGAACGCAGGCTGGGGATGTACCTTTGTGGTAGAATGCCTAGCATTCATGAGGCCCTGGACTCAATCCCTAGTATTGCAAGAAGAGGACAGCATAGTATGGAACTTGGTTGAAAATCTGAAAGGCAGCCACAAGAGAGGATTTTAAAACTACGTGGAAAGGGTTCACTTTCATCAGAAATCAGAAAAATAAGTACCATTAACGCCTAGCTGATTGGCAAAAATCTAAGTCAGACAATACCAAGTGTTGAGCAGATGGAGCAACAGGAACTGATCTCTAGTTGGTGGGAGTAATTGCTATGAGCACTGTGGAAAAGCAGCTGAGTGTTATTTTGCAAAACTGACACACCCGGTGAGCCATCGATTCCATTCTTAGGACCGTGCCTGTAAGACTCCTGAGTACCTGCACCAGAACTTCAAGAAATGCCCACAGCTGCCTAGTCTGTGAGACCCTGCAGTGTAGGCTGGCAGATCCCAGTGTGAGCGTAAGTTCTTGGAACTGGACGGCAGGGAAAGTGAACCAGAGTAGTAGTTCAGAATCTCAGTGTGGGATATTGGACACAAAACCATGTGTCTGCCATGCTTTGGTAGTGCATGCCTTAATCCCAGCACTTAAGAGGCAGAGGCAGGCAGATCTATGTGAGTGCAAGGCTAGCCTGGTCTATAGAGCAAGTCTCAGGACAGACAAGACTATATATACCCTATCTTTTTTTTTAGGGGGGGGGTGTTGTGAGAGTAGCCTCGAACTCACAGAGATCCACTTGCCTCTGCCTCCCAAGTGCTGGGATTAAAGGTATGCACTGCCATTGCCTGACTGAGAACCCTTAAAAAAGCAAACAGCCAAAGCAAAACAAACAAAAACAAAACAAAAAACACAACAAAAGCAAAAAAGCACCAAAAACCCCATGTTGTTCTGTTATTAGGATTTCTGTGTTTGTATCTTGCTGTGTAGTCTTGGCTAGCCTGGTCCTCACTGTGTAGCCCAAGATGGCCTTAAGCTCACAGCATTTCTGCCTTAGCCTCCTGAATGCCAGGAGTACAGTCCTACACCTTGACCTGCTTCTGTTCACGATCAGAAGCAAATTCTTGCTTAGGAATTCTATGTAGATGGTAAGACTAGAAAGAAAACCAAGGAACTGCTTATTGCAAAAAATTAGTGATGGCCTTAGGAGTGTGGCGCTGCTGTAGCGCTTGCTCAGCACACACAAGACCCTGGATTTAACCCTGGCTCAAAGGGTTTGTCAGCAGGAAAGAGAGAGGAATCGCCAAAGCAATAATGGCCATCGTCTTTGGAGAAAACAGTTCAGTGATAACGGAGGACCTTGCAAATAGGGGGCGTTCTCATTTTCTGATCTCTGAGGTGATAAAATCGTCTGTAGTTATTGAATTGAACAGGTTTTTAGGTGTAACTAAATGGTAGAACTATTACTTACCTAGCGTGTGTTAAATTCTGGGTTCGATGTCTACCATCTCATACACAACGAGCATCTGTGTCAGGTGTCCTGTGTATTGGTGATATTTTAGAGCTATAGGAGAAAAGCAAACAAAAACGACATCCCGAGGAGTAGCAGGTGTGGCAGGCATGCCTGTAATCTGAACATCTGAGAAGCAGAAACGGGGTTTGAGAGTTCGAGACGCGCCTGGGCTCCATAATCAGATAGTCTCATAAAACAGTAAGACAAGACAAACCATGAAACAAAAACACGATCTGAGGCTCGACCAATCAGGTGATCAGTCAGAAACTGTTCTGACGTGGATATGGGTGAGAGCTCACTCAAAGCTGGGTCAAGGCAAAGTATCCAACCCACCCTGGAGTGGGTCTCAGGTACCCTCAGCAGGCGGCTACACTTCTACTTCCTATTGTGACCCTGTCTCAAAAGAAAAATAATTTTTTTCATAAAATATCTTTCCAAAGTCAAATGACTGTCAAAATCAATGACCAAAACTTGCCTAAATTTTAAAAACTGATTCCAGCCTTGAATCAAATACCTCACCTCTCCTTGCCAGGAGGGTAGGGAGCCAGAAGGCATAGTGGGTGCCTTTCATCACCCCTGTTTCAGAAAGATGAGCATCGGTGCCTCAGCTTCCTGCAGGGGCCAAGCCTCTGCTCCTCTGCAGCTCCCTACAAGAACCCCCCTTACTATATTTGACTGGGAGTGGGAAAAGCTAAAGGGAGAGATGTGGACAACCGGGCTGGACTCCCAAATACCCCTGACCTAACCTGCCTTGTTGCCAGCTGGTGGTGGCATCAAGCACTGACTCTGGACACGAGTGAGCGCACAACAGTGAAAGAAGGCTTGACTGTGTGCGCGTGTAACCCACTCCAGGGGGACTGCAGGACCCATGGGAGCAAGCGTGGTGGTGGAGACACTTCAGGTCATGGGCTTCTTCTTCCTCCTTCCCCTTCCTCTCTCCTCCTCTTCTTTTTCTTTGAGACAGGGTTTCTCTGTGTAGCCCTGACTGTCCTGGAACTTGCTCTGTGGACCAGGCTGGGCCTGACTTGAGAGAGTCACAAGATTCTGAAGGCTAGGCAGCCCCGCCCAGCCCAGCGCTGCTTCTTGCATTGCTTTATTCTGTGTGCTTCATTCACCCCGACCCTCACTCTGCTCCCAGTGACTCCCAGGACCCTACAGTTGACAGGGTACCCACGTCACCCCTGGCAGTCTGCTGTCCTGGCCCCAGCAGTACTGAACATACAGGGTTCAAGCCTATGATATGGACCCTCAAATATTCTAGAATCTCACACAGAGAGGACCACCCTCAAGCACTTCTAAGCAGAGCCACAGACTACCTCCATGTAGTGGGCCCTTCATATGTGTTGAGACTAAAGAGACACAGTCACAGAGGGACAACGATGCTCTAAGACTTCCCGGGCATTGGGTATCTGTGAGAACTCTGAAGGGAACCAGTACCTGATAATCTCAGCACGTAGGAGTACACCTGGTCCCGGATGAACCCAGTAGGTCTAGGACACTGAAGTCCATAAACACTCCTGTGCCTGCTGATGGCTTGAGGTGACTGCCTGTCCTTCAGAATCACAGGAGGCCATAAGGCTAGGACAGTCCACCTTCCATCCTCCTCAGAGGCACAATGTCTTGCCCTGGGAGAGACCTCTGGCAGGAGCTGGACACACAACCCCAGAGGAATAAAATCACATCTACTGAACCCGGAGGGGTGGGCTGAGTCCCCAGGAGAGATATCATTCAGAGGTACAGTTTATCAATTTGAGTGTGAGGGAGGGCAGGCACATGACAAAGCTCATGTAGAGGTCAGAGGACAGGTTGTGGGAGTTAGTTCTCTTCTTCCACCACGTGAGTCCCGGGATCAAGCTCAGTTCTTAGTGGTGACTGACGGCATCTTTACCTGCTGAGCCATTTTACCCTCAAGTGCAATATTTTGTGAGCACCTTACTTGACAGATGAAATCCTTCTTCATTCCTTTCCCAAAGGAATTCCTTAGCACAAAAGTCAGACAGACAGATACACAGAGAGACAGATAGATAGACAAGTGGACACACACAGACCCAGACGGAGAGAGAGACACCATGGACATGCCACAAAAATATCAACACAAGCCAGGTATGGTAACATACACCTTTAATCCCAGCACTCAGGAGGCAGAGACAGGTGGATCTCTGTGAGTTTGAGGCCAGCCTGGTCTACAGAGTGAGCTCCAGGACAGCCAGGGCTACATAGAGAAACCCTGTCGTGAAAAAACAAAAACAAACAAAACACACAAAACAACCCCAAAACAAAAACAAAAAAATCACAACAACAACAAAAACCCAAAGAAACAAACAAATCAACACCCACGGAAAGTCACCACAGGGCACACCCCAGAGAGACAATCCAAAGATGGGTGCATGGCTCCCAAGCTCAAAGCCCGAGCCTCTTGCCCCCTGCCAAAGGTGTGCTGCCCAGACACACAGCCACATTTGGGACAGGACACAGTGAGTAAGTGCTTTGTGAGCACTAAGCATCAGTAACGTCTGTCCAAGCTGGTGGTGTAGGGGTGGCATGAAAAGCACCCTATTTCGGGGGACTCTGTGACCACCACAGCCAGCATTGCAATGATCCCCAAGAGGCAAGAAGGCTGTTCAGCTCAGCACAGCTAAACAGCGAGTGTGATTCAAAATGTGAGAGACTTGGCTCCGAGCATCATGCCACAGCATTCCCTCTTCACAGGCCATGCCCTTCCTCCTGAGAGAATCCTCTGACCTCACTTTTGTCTGCTTCCATCCCCCAACTGTCCTCTCCCGGTCACCAGGTGCCTTAGGTTTTGACAGTTTCAGGTCCAGGC